TCCTCCTCCTCCTCCTCCTCCTCCTCCTCTTCTTCTTCTTCTTCTTTCTAATCCTCCTCAAATTTCTGGTCCTCTAATCTCTTCTTCTTTGGACTTCATGGAATTGAATTTTCCTTATTGATTTGGATTTTTTGGATTTGAATTGTATTTATTTACTAAAATGCCACCGGTATAATATGAGAATGTCAAAATTTTTTGTTATTATTTGAAGAAAAAATGTCACATTTGTGGCATTGTATTTATCAGGATGTCAATCTGAAAATGTCACTATTCTTTTGAAAATGTCATGAAAGTGACAAAGGATCTTCCCTCCAGTGACTCAGTGCAGACCTCCGTGAGGAATGCCACTTGATATGCGAGAATGCCATAAAATGCTATAAGAATGACATTTTCTTATGGACATATGACATTTTTAGATTGACATCCTGATAAATATACTGCCAAAAACGTGACATTTTTTCTTCAAATAATCAATAATTTTGACATTCTCATATAATAAAAGTGACATTTTTTAAAATAATCAAAATTAACAGATTAATCTAGAACCTTAAAAGTTCACAAATTAGAAGAAAATAAAAAACCAGAAAAAAGAGGCCCAGGAAGAAGAACAAGAGAAAGAAGATGAGGAGAAGGAGGAGGAGAAAGAAGGAAGAAGAAGAAGAATGAGAAGGAGATTACCTGTAAAATTGCAGAAGGAGAGATGCCCTGCTATGGAAGTTTTCTGGCGTGAACAGAGGATTGCAGCCATGGCGGTTCCAGTGTGGGTGATGAGTGCAGTGATAAGTCCGTATTTAAGACACGTATTTGATGCATGTTGGGATCGGTTTTTGATGGTTTTGCTAGCTTTAAGGTGTTGCAAGTCTCAATTTTAGCTCAAGTTATGTTTACCGGAAGTTGGTTCGAGTTTTGTGTCATTTGGAGTCAAAATCAGGAATTTAGAGTTCGGCACCGGCGCTTGAGGAGCAATCGGAATGAGTTGAGAAGAATTCAAGATTGATTTGAGAGCTTTGGAGGTCAACGGAAGGTTCACGATAAAGATTTGATGACAAAAGAGCTCTAGGATTTGCTACAGGATCAAAAGAAGATGAATGAAGCTTGAAAACGACGATCAGAATGACCTTCTGTCAATCGTTCAAGCATATCTCCTTGTAGAAACGCCCAAAGAACACGATTCAAGTTGCATATGAAAGCCAACTTCAAGGGCTACAGACGATGAAGTCAGATGATCGCTGTTGCGATTTCAGAATGCCACCTTTCACCATTTTATTCACATCTCTTGATTGGATGATTCAAATCCAATTCCGCAAGTTGTGAAGGAAGTTTTTTCAAATTAGGACTAGAGAAACGGTGAAAAACAAGCCACACACGATCGTGCCTGAAGGGACGCACAATCGTGTGTGAAAGCTGAAAATCGGAGAAGCTACTGCCTGCTACGCACGATCGTGCGTAGCCAGTGACGCACGATCGTGCATAGCCAAGGACGCACAATCGTGCATACCCCCATTTTACGCGAAATTCAGTCCTAGTTCGGTCAGAAATCATTAATTTTCCCCTTTTTCTATAAATAAGGCCTCCATACTCCTTTTTGAGGGTTACGAACATTACGGAGAGGCCTAGGGATGAATTTATTCATTGTTTTCTGCTATTTTACTTTAAGAACCTGAGATTCTTTGTAAGCTCATTCTTTTTAATTAATGACAATTTATTTTATTCATCCCAATTCGATTGATTTTTTAATTATGAGTTGTGAGTAGTTTAATTAGGGATTTGTGGTTGATGAAGGGTTAATCATGATGTATGGCTAGATTCTTGATGGTTTAATTGCATGAATGCTGTTTAATTTGTGTTTGAATAATTTAATTGATATCTCTTGTAACCTAGACTGCAACTAGAATTACAATTGCATGTAGAATGAATTAAGAGAGATCTAATTTGTTCTAGGACACATTCACACACACTTAATCGTTCACTAAGAGATTAGTAGCGATTAAGGGGCCGTAAGCTCGCTCGTTTTGGCAATAATTAAGGATCATGTGCATGCATGAGAGATCAGCCTGGTCCCTAAATTATTGTACTATACGCCGCGAGAGCGGTAAGAACTTAGTAATGATTAGCTAGGCTCAATTAAATTAATTTCATGCAATTAGACCTGATCTGCCAGAAATCTGGTTACCTCGGAATCAATCCATGTTCCTTCGTCATTAATTAATAAGAAATCACATTTATTTTATTCGTTAATCTGCATTAGTTTAATTTTTCCAACCAACCAATCTCGCACAATTGCATTTTATTTTATTTATTTCTTTTTAATCGTTGAATTTAGTTAATCTTTAATTCCCTTTTGTCCGTCCCTTTGGAGACGATACTCGTACTTTCATACATTTTCCTACACCATTTTTAAGTGCAAGAAAACACATTGGTTTTTTTTTGCGCCGTTGTCGGGACGGTGTCGGTATTAAGGGTTAATTAATTTCAGCGAGATTTTTTTTTATTTAGTTAGTTTTCTTTTTGTTCTTCGCAGGATTTTTCTGTGCTAACCTTTCAGGTATTTTCCTAAGAGGTATGTGATGAACCCATTCAGCCAAATTCCTAGAGGAATTTCTTACCCTCAAACCTCCATGGAATATTCACCATATATGTCATACCCTCCTTACACTCCTCCTTCTCCTCCTCCTCCTCCTCCTCCTCAATATTACACACCTCATCAAAATTACTCTCCTACACCACAAATTTATCAGTTCCCTTATTCATACCCTCCAACCACGCAACCTTGTCTGCCTAAGAATAATATTTGTTCCTTTTGTGGAGGATGTCACCATATATCTTTTTTCTCCGTTAAACCTCCATATGACCATCCTTACTGAGCAACTGCATACCCCACTTCTTCCTCCACACAATTTACAAACACAAATGTTTCAGCCACTCCTACATACTTCCCGAGTAATGAGCCTCATAATCAACAAGAGGAGGCAGATTTAAAGAGGCTTTCTGACTTGGAAGAGACGTTCATACAATTCATGCACGTTACTTCAACTAGAATGCAGAATTTTAGTAATCACTTGGATCAGCTGTTTAACGCCTAACCTGAGGAGACCAATAAGGATGATCATGTGAGCGAGTCAGACTATGATGGTGGGAATATGATGAATGATACCCCCGGCCGTTTGATTTACCATTAATCTCAGCACCCGATGAGGGCAAGGAGCAGACCAGTCATGATGATAGTGCTACTGAGGTAGGTTGGGGTATTGAAAAGGGAAAAGTGCCAAAAAATGACATCAAAGTATTTAATGAATCTCATATATGACATTGAGGTTTATAATGGATCAAAAAAACATAAAATCAAACCTTTCCCTTAACTATTAACCACCCTTCTAACTGGCTCGTTAAACGACCGTTTCCCCCCATTCCCCCTAACTACACTGCACATTAAAAAAGACCTACTTCAAGAACTCTACTTCATTATCCCAACCTATTGTGCAGACATATGTGCAGAGGAAACCATAGCAATGGGAGATAGGTCTTCACCATCAAGGTCTGTAGGGTTACAGAAATCATCCTCCATTGATTCAGTCCAGTGCGGAATGAATATTAAGACGCAATATGGTGTGGGGGGGGGGGGGTTGTAAATGTAGGAGCCGAAGTGGAATCCCTGTGAAAGCTCAAGTTGGACTTCATGGACGAATAAGAATCCAGGGAGACGGTTTTATGGTTGCCCGTTTTATGAGGTATTTTAATATAAATTTTTTAAAATGGTGTCATTTATCCCAGTGTGATGTTTTTCATATTAATGTCTGCAGAATGATGGTTGTGGGTTTTTTGAATGGCATGATGAACCTCTAACGGATAGGGCCAAACATGTTATCAATGATCTAAAAATGGAGAATATAAGGCTTCATAGAACAATAATGGGACTAGAGGAGGCCATACGTGTAGGGGAGGCCATAACTGCAGGTGGGGAGTTTGCTCAAACTCCAATTCCAGAATATGAGCATACCTTTAAACAGAACATGGAATTTGAGGTTCAAAAGCTTAATCGTACAGAGGTTGCAGAACATTTGGAGTTACATAGAAGAGCAAATTTGAAGAGGAATTATGTGATTGTACTGATGTTGTCTGCTCTTGTTGTACTCATATGTATGATTTTGGGTTAATAATGTAACAAAGTATTCTATTGTAATCTTGAACACCATTGATGGGCAATGGAGTAGCTTCTTTAGTGTGTATGTACTTGGTTTAACATTAGTATGAAATGACCTTGTATTTGGAATTCATTGGTGTTAATTGTTGTGTGTGTGTTTCCTATCTTATTGTTGTATTTCAGTTGAGGTATTGTTGAGGTATTGTTGAGGTGTTGTTCAGGTTAATACAAGTCTTGTTCTGCTAAAAGAAATGGAGGTCTATATTGGTCAATATATTGTTCTGCCAAAATTAAACCGGGTCTTCTTTATTGTGTTGCTTAAATATAGAGACCATATTCACGATTGTTACTTAATGCAACACTCATATGATAAATGATGCATAAAACTTATTAATATGCAACAAATCACAAAAAGTGATGCATAATAGTGTATTTCTAATGTTTATGCAATACTTATAAATAAGTGTTGCAAAATATTACATTTAAACGTCATTTGTAACACAAATAAAAGTGTTGAAAATAAAGTGTTGCTAAAGGTCTATTTTGTTGTAGTGAACTAAGCCTACAAATATTAAAACATTTTTTATATTTGATTATTTTCCTTATTTAAGGTTTAAATATTTCTGTGTATATTGTGTGCGTATATGTAAAAAATTATAACTATAATTATATAATCACGGGTCGGGTCCAAAACGGTCCAGAACTTAAAAACCCATATCTGACTTATTTTCTCTATCATGTAACGAGTTCAGATCCGGATCAAGGAAACTATTCTAAATTTAGACTCATACCCTTAAATAAAGTGTCGGATTCGGATCGGGTCCGGGTCTAGACCCGACCCATCGACTGGCCTATGTGTTTGAAATGATGCCCAAACTGTTGTTTCTATATATAGATACCCCGGGCAAGTTTTTGCAAACAAATTAATCATAAAACAAATTGAAAGATTTTATCCGTTGGTTCTAAATTGTAGCCCTTGGATCTACCAAAATTAATTTTTTTGGACCCCGACAATCCCTGGCCGCCATAGCTATTACCGAAGACCAAGCGCTGCTGGAGTTCACGCTTTGATGTGGACCGCGGAATTCCTCTGCCAAATGCTGCATTTTTTTTTGGGTGAGTACATAGTTTGGGTTTTTCACTGATAGGTTGCGGGAAGCCTTACCGAGACAACTGGTTTAACAATGGAACATAAGCCCTAATTCCTGCAGTCAATTCGTGAAAATTTCTATATTCGATCATGAATCGGTCTCTGAGAGAGGAGAAGCTGTTGGCCGCGGAAAGAGAGTCATCCCTAGGACAAAGCCAAGGAGAAAATACCAAGCCAGAAAATTTTGAAGTGGAAGAAGCTAGAAATTCGGAAGAAGCGGGGCAGGAGGAGGAGGAAGGATCGGATCTTACACACATGATGAGCGATCCTCCTGGATCTGATGCTCTTTATCTCAGGCATCCGAGATTTGAGACGGGGAAACGAATAGATGAATTTTTCCATGGGAGTACTTGGAAACCTCTGAGAAATGAGTCGCCATGGGACGAGGAAAGAGAGTCATCCCTAGGAGAAGGCCAAGGAGAATATACCAAGCCAGAAAATTTAGAAGTGGAAGATGCTAGAAATTCGGAAGAAGCGGGGCAGGAGGAGGAAGGATCGGATCTTACACACATGATGAGCGATCCTCCTGGATCTGATGCTCTTTATCTCAGGCATCCGAGATTTGAGACGGGGAAACGAATAGATGAATTTTTCCATGGGAGTACTTGGAAACCTCTGAGAAATGAGTCGCCATGGGACGAGGAAAGAGAGTCCCTTGGCGAAGGCCAAGGAAAAAAGACAAAGCAAAGAAAATTGGATGTGGAAGAAGCTGTAAATTCAAAGAAAGTTTTAGATCTTGAACACATGATGAAGGATCTTCATAGTCCTGATTCTGATTGGGAATTTTATGACAACCATGAACAAGAACCTGCTCATTATGTGGATTTATATTCTGCAGGGGAAGGTTTCTTTAGTAGGAAGCATAAACCAGACAGCTGCTGGTTGCATGATAAGTGTTCGAGGTATTTGCATAATAAGATCAACGATTTACGACTGTGGAGTAGACCTCCCAGAGACATGTTTGAGTTGTACAGAGTTGAGCTCGTCCTTAACAGCAAAACCACAGAAGCTACCTTCTCCGGCGAACTCCACGGTACAATTGGATTAATCGACAAGAGATTTGAGGTCTCAAATTCTCCCCAAATCTACTATTTCAAGGTCAGTGAGGCTGACTCAGTTCCATTCACACTTACCTACCACAAGGAGTATTTCCTCGTCCCCCTGTCTGGTCCTCAACCCAGACCCATGCTGGCGGAAGATGACATGATGGGTATTTTTTTTGCTCTCAAGATTGGTGATAAGGATTTATTTGAGGATGGTCCTACTTTCAAGAATACAGAACTGTTTGGGACGGACGATGAAGTGACAGCAGGGTGTTTAAGCTATAACCACATGTTTGTCTCTAAGGATCCATGCTACCCTAAAGTTATAAAGCATGTGATGGGGGGTACAGGTTCTAATCCCATAACTTTGGTTGCATATTATAGCTTATTCTTTGGCTCATGGGCTAACGTTGATGTGGTTCTGCAGAATGGTAACAGAGTGGTTAGCAGTTTCTATGGATATGTTTTTGCACGCTCATGCATTTTTGATACAGGGACTTGCCTTCTCAGGATTGGTTCAGAAAACAAGCGTGAACCAATAATGTCAGACTCTGGACAGAGGATTCCTCTCACAAGATCAATTGTGGCTGTCCCATGGAATTCTTCTCTTGTGGTTGAAGCAGAGCTCTATGACCAAGATGGCAATCTGATTGTCAAGGGCACAACTTCATCCCTTGCTACAAACTCTCCCGAATGTCATGGTCGATTAATTGGTGAAGGCGCTGCTTTTGTTGATTTCAGATGGGGCTCTCTAGATGAGTCGTCAATTAATTGTCCAGGTACTGATTTCAGACGGGGCTCTCTAGATGAGTCGTCAATTAATTGTCCAGGTACTGATTTCAGACGGGGCTCTCTAGATGAGTCGTCAATTATTTGGGCAGATTCTGATTATTTCAATATATGATTCTAGATGAGTAATACTACGTACTTGCTTAACAATGGGATATTTAAACGTTGTGCTAAACTTAGTTGGGTGTTATAATGTTCCCCAGAGTGCTTGTTTGAATTTATTTATGGATGGGTTCGTTTTAGTTTGTGGATTTATAATTTATAGCTTGAGCATGAGTTGTGGATTGGGGATTTAATATCTATTGTATTTTGTTAAGTCACGGGATTCCATCCTAAATGGTCAACCTGTTAGGAGGAGTAGCCCGAAGCTTAATATAGCACTCTAATGCTTCTCAATTTTCCGGTGTGAGACATTTAACACCCCTCCTCATGATCAGACACTTCGTCTGGATCGTGTCGTCATTCATTTCTTCATCGGTTCGTCATTTTTCATAACGGGCCCCACACCATGGATCAATTTGGCTTTAATACCATGTTAAGTCACGAGATTCCATCCTAAAAGGTCAACCTGTTAGAAGAAGTAGCCCGAAGCTTAATATAGCACTCTAATGCTTCTCAATTTTCCGGTGTGGGACATTTAACATATTTCAGCTTTTGAAAAATGGGAATGTACTTGGACTTTTCCGGTCTAAGTACAAACTAGATTAGCATTTGAGCATGTTTTTTAATTGGACTTATTTCAGTTTCTGACTAAATCAGACTAGACATCGATTGTTGTAAAATACACTCAGACCAGAAATTTACTAGATCAGAAAATTTCAATTCAATTGAAAGCACCAAACCTTACAATGGCCTATGTCCCGCTCAGCTAGGCATTCCTAGGAGTGGACCCGGGCCGGTTCCGGTTCGGGCCTGGGCCCGGCCGGGATTTTATTTGTGAATGGGTGAACCGGAACCGGCCCGGGTAGCCGGCGGGTCCGGGCCGGGCCTCGGGCCACTTCCTTTTTTTTACTTTTCTAATTAATTCCCGACCCCCCCCCCCCACGCTCATCCCCCCTCACCCCCCCCCCCCAAACCACCCTAAATGGCCCAAAACACCCGGCCCAACCCAGGAAAATAAAAAAAATTGAAAAAAAATGGCTCGGAAGCGGGCCCGGCCGGGCCGGTTCATCTATTAGGTGACCTGAGCCCGCACCGTAAAACCACCGTTCTGGGCCTCCCCGGACCGGTCCTTGGCCGGGCCACCGGCTAGGGCCGGTTCCAAACAGTGCCGGTTCGGGTCGGTTCCGGGTCGGGCCAGGCCCGAGTCCATGCCTAGGCACTCCTAGAACACAATCATCTCCAAGCCTAAATCGTTAGAAAGACCTTTATTCCGCCCGTGTAAGCCACCTATGCACCTCATTTCTTTTCGCTGAACATGGCATCGAAATAGAACACTTTTTTTGGTGTCTGGTTTCCTGGTATCCTTTCCAATGGTTCAGCTCGCTACTGGCCACAAGCCCACAATTGAGAAAATTCCTTCACGGCTAATGGGAAGAATAGTCCCCCAAAATGCCTTTTTGAAGGTGCCTTTGTTGTTCGTGTTAGAGAATGGGGTGTTTGGCAATTGGCTATTGGCTTTTAGCTGTTGGCTGATTATGTTGGCTGATTGACGATAGCAGTTTCTGTTGGCAGTTTCAATTAGCTGATAGGATTAGCAGTTTGTCAAAAAGCGTTTGGTTAAATGACTGTTGACAATCAGCTGATAATTTGTTAAATGACCATTAAGGACATCAATTAATTTTTATTAATATAATTAGTTCAACTAATTAAACTGTTTTTGCTATTTCAAAACTAAAAATGTATGAACACGAGTAATGTTTATTTTAAATCTTATATCACGAATCAATAAATTTAATAAAAAAATAATGATATTTTGATTAATTAGGCTTGTCAAATCTATATTTCTTTATTTAAGAATGTACTCAACCGAATAGAAATTGAAAACAGTCCATAAGTACAAACGCTCAATTTCTTTAATTAATACGGAGTAAAAAAATACAAAAATATCCACCAAAATGGGACTGAAATATCAAAATGCTTCTAACTAGACATAGACCCCTAGCCTTAATGTACAACATAATTGAAAACCGAATTTTTTCTTCCATTTTGACGGAAGAGGAATACGAGAATCGTTTGAGGTATCATTTGGCCAGACGCGAGAAGTTAACATCAATCTCCCAAGGATCGGAGCTCGATTCTTCTTGGATAGATATATCTCCCAGGGATCAACCTCCCGCAGCCACCACGCGAGGTGTATCTGTATATATTAGAGGAGGGGTATATGTATATATTTGCAAGTCAGAGAACAGAGATAGCTCCCAGTATTGTTCTTTTGCTCTGCGGCAGAAGCTGGTGTGGGTTGGGGTAAGATTTTTTCTCTCTTGATCGGAAGATTTTTTGTGGAAGGCCAGGAAGGGAGATACGGAAAATGTTTGGGTAGTATGGTAAAGATGCGAAAAAGCCATTAGTAAACGCTAAGGTTTTTGGCGTTTAAGATTTCGGCTGTTGGACCCTAAAGGCCGATTCAAAAAGCCATTTAACCAAACAATCCTGTTGACTGTTTAATCTAGTCAAAAAGCCAAATATGAGTCAAATCAGCCAAAAAATGGCCGATAGGCTCCTAACCAAACACCCCCAATGCCTTGTTAGCTCCACATCATGTCCGCTCTTCAGCTGTTGGTGGTTTAGAAGCGAATGGTCCTCACGATATTGATTGGGTAATTCTATTTACAGCCCCTTAATTGCTAATCACACACACATATTTTCATAATTTCTCTTGTGCCCTTGTTACTAAATACAGTCTCTACTCAGAATGTCTCAATCGCCTTTTGGAACTCCAACACCGTATCTTAATTCTTAATGTTCGGATGAGGAAGAGAGTAGAAGATGTATTCAAAGTGGGGTAAAGACTGCCAATCACTTCCATGTGGACCATGTGTCCGCAAAACCACTCACCATCACATATGGATACTTAAACAACATGGATTTCACACATAGTTTTATATCATCGAATTGATATTTTCATGTTTTTAAGTGGCAGCCTAGATTTGATTTTGCATTTGGGTGTGTCTTCTACTAGTTCTGAATTTTTACTTCATCTTCTTTCTTGGCTTCAAATTTTTACTATGCCCACACTTTTTTTCGGCAATTTCCTAGCACTTTGATTTCGGTAGTTTGCGATGGAAAAATTTAAAGCAATTTTTTTTTTAAACTCGATGATATAAAATTAGTGCAACATAGAGTTGCGACTTTGCAGCACATAGGGGCGGAGCCAGCACACTGGGCCAGACTGGACCGATACAAAGAATATTTTTAAAATTTTTTTTGCCTGGAATTTTTTACACTAAAAATGAAGACATTTTTTAAATTTAGGCTGGGCCAGGGCCAAGGCTGGCCCACCCCTATCTCCGCCCCTGCCAGCACAAGGATTGCGGCAATTTGCAATTTTGCGGCAACAGAGTTTGTGGCAGCCGTGATTATCTTTGCTATAATAATAAGGGGTAATCTAAACATTTGTATTAATTTTGTGGCTGTGATTAGTAAAATGAGGGCTGTAAATAGAATCACCCTATTGATTAGATCACACTAAGACAAGTTTGGACCATAATAAAGGTGACAACTCCGGTACCCATTTAAAAAATGGGGGTAACGTACCTACCATGCATTTGATTGGTCCAAATCATTAAATCTATTTTAATTTAGAATTAAATTTAGATTTAAATAATTCAACTGCATGATTCTGATTGGTCCATGTGGACAAAGGTACGGTATCTTATGGGTACCATAGAATCTACCTATAATAAAACTTGTTCCTTCCATTGAACGTGCTGATGATTTTAAATCACACAAGTTTTTTAAATGTTTAAAATTACATTACTGAAAAAAACCGAAAACTGAATAAAAGAAACGAAGCGCCACCAAATAAATTTGAACCGCTAAAAAATGAAAATCGAATGTGAAAAAATGAACCGAAACATGGTTGTTTTGTTCGGTTTTGGGTTTTACCCTTCAAAATCAAACCGATCCAAATAAACTGAACTAATGAAAATATGAAATTCCATTTGTTAATTATCAAACGTTAATCCTAAGTAATCCTAATATCATTGATAGTCTTTCGTGTTCTTGAGCTAGAAAATTAATTTTTATGTTATGTTTAGTTTAGTTTATAAATGCATTTACATATCATTACCTATAATAACATAATTATATTGATCTATTATGTCTTTAATGATGATATATTTTTATTACTCCATCATTTGCAATGGAGCCAAAAACTCACTATTTTTTGGCTTAAGAATATGATGGAATAAAGCAAAATGGTTCACTAATTATCCGCGCTTCTTTGTTATGAAGCAGCACCGGTCTATGCAATTTTTACGCGATTTTCACTATGGGTCATCCAGGAACAACCTCTTTGTACTTTAGTACATGGGTAAGGCTGCATACATCCGACCCCCCTTACCCCACCGTAGGTGGGAGCCTTTGCGGCACTGGGGTAATAATGTTGTTGTTGTTGATGATGATGATGATCTATTTTTATAGGTTGTTATAGTCACTAGCTTTTATTTTTATGTAACATAAAATTTATATATTCATAAAACAAATAAATAGTCATCTCAACTATATCACATAGAACGTATATATTCATGAACGTTTTTCAAATTAGTCACAAGCAATGAAAATTAAAAATTATACACTTTATCTCCCTCGCACACTTGATAATTTTATTGATAAAAGGAAAAGCAGTAAAGTGCAATAAAAGGGAAAAAGGAAAAGTAGTGCAAAACAGAAAAAAGAGTAAACTAAATAAAAGATCTAGCCTCATGGGAAATCTCTGGATTGCAACCTTGTTGTCATATGCTGTGACGCCTTTTGTTCTTTTGAGATTTTATTTATATTTTGGGTTGCGTGTTCAAATTGTCAGTTGGCGCGTAATTTTCTGAGGTTAAGAATTGGCTTTGCGGGAAATCGTAGTATTGAATTTGGACTTCCTAATTTCTTTCGGGTATGAAATAGGAGGACGACGTTCACTTTCGCTTGCATGTCCCAAGAAGTCATCTGTGAATAGCTAGTCGTTTGAATGATCAAAATCATCGAAGCATTTGAGTAAGCCTGGAGGAGCGGTAGTTGGGGTTGTTTCTTAGCATAGAAGACTTGTTGATTCTTTATACCTGCTGCATCGATTTGAAAATTAAGAATCAGTTCAGATATAGATGTGGAGTCCTCAATTTCTTACATACTCTTGTGTTGAAGAGAGATTTTGAAAGCCCTACAAAATTAGAAAAAATATTAAGGAATCTATATAGACTCAAATTATGGGGTCCCATGGATATCTGAATGAAGCTCTCTTTTTAACAAAGTTGCCCACTCTGTAATATTCATGGAAATCGTGACATCTCCAAATCGACTTTTTTTGTCAAAATTTGTCCAATCAGAATTTGCAAGCTGAGAGATAAATTAGATGATTTGAGGGACAAGCTCACGTTTGAGGTAAAACTTGTGCATAAGAGATCTTTTAATTTCAATTAGCACCAAATCTCAATCACTCAATGCAAATTTAAAAGTTTTTGTTCCAATTTTGACCGAATCAAATCCTTCTCCAAAGGAGTATTTTTCAGCATCATTGGGTAAAGGATCTGTAGATGCCATGATTACTTCCGTCGTAGTCATTTACAATTGTTCCAACTGGGAAATTTCTGAGTCCTTTGATGATAATTTGTTTTTCTTTGGAAGAAGGACCGTTCCCTGAGTTGTTTGTCCGAATCGATCCTCAATACCAACCCATTTGAAGGCTTGTGCGGTATCTGGCGTGCGTGTCTCCTTAACGTTCAGTCTGTCAGCTAAAGGCCGGAGTCACCATCAATGAGGTGGGTATGTCCGTCATGGGTCCCGACACAGGAGGGGAAGTAGCGACCGGCGTGGAGGTTACTACCTGTCTCTGGTCTGGGTCGCCGAGATCTTTATAGTTTATGTGTTATTTTCTTTAATATAAATATATATAATTCAAGACATATTTATTTCTTCTTTCTTTTTTTATTTGATCTAATATGCTCTCATTTTTACATGTTCGTAATATGTTTGATCCTTCAAATGGTTTTACAAGAGGATCAATCCAAAACCTCAATGGTTTTTAAGAAAGACACTCTCGATATTGTTGGTTTTGCAAAGGGCTACCCAAAAATCTAAATATTGCTTTACGAATCCTTACAAAAGTATATGAAATAGATACAAGAATAATCTTATCTTGTACTCATAACAAGAATATAAAGATTTGATGTTTGGCTTGATTGTGTAATTATTTCGCCCAATTAACACTCCCACCATGAGTTTCATTGTTCTCCATTTTGATTTCCTCGACTTCCTTCTATAAACTTATTTTGCATTAGGGTTGTCTATACATTAAAATATAAGGAGTAGTAAAGATTTTTTTAGTATGCTTACTCGTTCTCCATTTTTAGTTCCTCACTTCCTTCTAAGTCAACTCTTGTGTATTCATCTCCTCACTCTCACAAAATAAACTCTTGAAGGTCACCATTGGATCTCCAAAGTTTTTTAGATCTTGGGATTTTCTACCGTAATGTGCTTTAAAATGCACTAACATATTAGGCTTAAGCAAATCTAAAAGGACTAGGATTCATCATGTCAATACTATAAATTCATTTGAAGTTATCTTGATAAATCTTACTCCGTATTTAAAGATTCGAAATAATTGAGGATGAATAATGTTATTATTTTTAGTTTCTCTATAAAATACGGAGTACAAATCATACTGTTAAACATAATGTGAAATTATCTAAAATCATGAAGAGATTGTAAAACCAAGCATGTACTAATATTTGATATGAAATAATTATACTCCATATAAAATATTGAAAACCTATTAATCTAATTGTAAAGCAGCGACACCATTTTGGTAAAGCAAGTTCAAAAAAAAAAATCTTAAAACTCTAAATTGAAATAGAAGAAAAAACATCATGATATCAATTAACTAATTAACAAGTGACCCCTTTCATAATTTACAAATCAATAATTCAACATTTGAAAAATTATTTGTATACTAGAGAACTAATCTTGTTAGGCGCGCGCCTACCCCGATTTCCCGTACGGTCCAGCCTGTTAGAGATGCTTCGGATCCGGGTCAAATTGTTGGTGAAATTTCGTGAACATGTTTTTGTTGAAATGTATATTAAAAATGAACATGTATACGACCATCTCAATCTGGGTAATGAAGCTCAAAGCAGTGTGCATATTCAAGTCTTTCATACATGATCTATTAAAAATTGGAAGGTGTTATCATGTTATGAACGTTGTTGACGACGTAAATAAAAAAAAGTGGGTTTTTTTCCTGATCAGGACCATTTGATGATGCCATCAAGAATAATATAATCACCTACAAACAATATGAAGACCTGGTCCGTTACACATGACGATGAAGATGATGATAGCTTAATTTTTAGATTTTTATTTAATTAATTGATCTTTTGTATTATCAACAAGAAATGGTGATTATTTAGTTCAAGTAATTTTTTGTTCAATTATTTAGTTCAAGTAATTTTGTTTAATTATTCCACCTTGCCTACTCTAGATCGTGAGATATCGTTCATATATGCGGAGTACTTTTGTAAAGTTCATTATAATACAACTTATTGAAGTATCTGAGCTAATTTAATTAATTACTCCGTATAATGGATTGAATATATAGATTACAACATATACGTTATTTAATCATAAGTACTAAAGTACTCCGTATCATTTTAACTTGTGAATGATGAATAATGTGTTGGTCAAATGATAAAAAACATTCAAAAGAGAAGTGGATTTTCATATAATTTTGGCTTATGTTTGGTTAGATAAATACAAATAACCGATTCATAAAAAAAATTGGACATGAATAGTTATATAATAGTTAAATAACCGATTCAAATGCCCTGACATTTGACTTTTCAAATTACAAACGTATAACCTTTTTCTCCTTTTCCAAATATGTGACTCAGGCTTCTCCGCACGTCTCTCTCCGCGATCCGCAAGACGCATCTCTAAGTTGGCTCAAATCCCTACGCACAGCACAGGCTATGGCGTGGTCTTGCTTCATTTCTGCACAAGGTCGAGGCGCATCTTCTCTTCGCACGGCCATGGCACCTTCTCTCCGCCGGGCCGCCTGTCTGAGCCTCGCCGCCCCTCCGCTGCATCTCCGCCGATCCAAACCTCGAGCTAGGGATGTGTTTCGCCGTTCTTCCTTTATTAAAACAATACAGACAATTGCTATTATTATAAGGGCAAATTACTTGAATAGGGGTAAAACAATAAATTAAACTAGTGCAACAATAGGTGTTCAATGTTCGATAGGAGTAAAAAGGCTTGACTTCAATCACCAAACTATCCTTAATGAAACATTTCAGGATTATTTATAAAATATAAAGATGAGATAATTACCTATATAGGACTAAAAAATTAAAATTATGCATAAATAGGAGTTGAGCTTCCCGTTAGGTTTAGTAGGAGTAAAAATGAGGTGAGCTAACATAAATGCCCTTGATGAAATCTCAAGCTCATATGTTTATTAATAATTTAAATCAAAATGTAGAAAACAAAATACTCCACAGTACAATAGACAATCATCGACACAACCCTAGGGCCAATGACCACCTTCTGAGCCGCCACCGCCGTCACCGCCGCCCCATCATCCGCTGCCGCCGCCGCTTCATCCGTCGCCGTCGTCAGTGGTACCCCACCTGTCTTCGTCACCCATGTCATCGCCGGAGTCGCCTCTTCCACCACTAGCTGCCATAGTCACCTCCGCCAGACGCCGTCACCACCAGGCACCTCCGCCACCATCTCCACAACCGCCTCTTCCACCACTGGTGTGGTTGCATTGCCGCTAGGCACCTTCGCCGTCAGTCACCGCCGCCGTCTTGCGTAACATCGGCGGTTGTCCGTATCCACGCCACCACCTTTGGCTCCACTACCGCCAATCTAAAATATGTAAAAAGTGTTGTAAATATAATTTGGTCATTTGAATGTCATTTTAATGACATTTGTATTGAAACACATATATGAATGTTATTGCCATCTTTGACATTTTCAAAGGCATTACACATAGTGGATTTGAAAGGGAAATTATTGTCATACACATGGCACTAAATACAAAAATTATGGAAAAACATGACATTATGACTTGTATTTTATTGCCATCGAGATGGAATTAATGTAAAAAAAATGGCATTATGTGGCAAAATAATATTTTCAAATGGAAAAAATGCCATTATTAGTATTGCATGAAGAGTAATATTTTTATTTAAATAGAGATTATGAAAATTTTAGATTCAAATAAAAAAAAACTTAACATAGAGATTATAAAAATATTAGATTCAAAATAAAAAAAGCCTTAAATAAAGATTATGCAAATCTTAGATTCAAATAAAAAAAGTGTGAAAAGTTAAAAAAGATAATCGAAATCATATGTCAAAAATTGTAATCAGCATTGTATATGGAGTAGAATTTTAATAAAATGTTGAGAGAACATCAGTTGAAAGAAAATTGAAAGAGAAAACATAAAAATTAAAGATAAACGATGAAGTAGATCTGGAAAGAGGGGAAAATGAAGCAAACATCACATTAAAAAATTGGTTGTAACTTCACGCAGCAAATCCAGCAAACAACATAAGAGGTTGCCATCGAGTGAATTAAAAGAAGGGATAAGAAGAAGAAGAAGAAGAACTTACTGATGTGGTCGCCGGAGTCGCCGCTACCTGCCGGTTGCTGGAGTTGGGGATAAACATTCACCATTCATCCTTATTATAGTCCGCTGGAGATGGAGAGGTAGTAGATCGGATGAGAAGTGATGAGATAGAGATGGGAGGAGACAGAGGATGAAAAAGGGGATGGGGAAGAGGGTTGCGTGAGAAAAAGGTTGGGTAAGATATGGGAAAAGCCTGACAGAATAAAGATGGAGTCTGACAAAATAAAAAGAAGCTTAATATACGAGCAGGGGTATAACCGGTAAAAGAAATGGACCGGTCAACTAAAAACTCCTATTCTGGGAATAAATTAATAGGGACTCCTATTTTGGAATAATTTCATTGTTTAGCTCCTATTTAGGGCAATAACTTTATAAAGATCATAACAAAAACTCCTAATTGATATCTCATGTGCCTCAAGGAAAGTGCCAATACACAACCACTGTCATGTCCCCCAGTGACACCCCACCGTCGTCGTGTCCTCCGACTCCCTCCATAGGCCACTGTTACCTCCACCTCCGTCGTGACCGCCGCTAACATCATGCCCGGCAGCGGGTGCCGCCGCCATCGATCTTCTCTGGCGTGACTTTAGCCCGATGCACTTCCTCTAGTGATTCTTCCTCTAGCGCCACCTCCAGATCTCCGACGTGACAGCCACCTCAGGCGAGACCGTTCTAGATTTTCAGCGTGACAACCACCTCTTCTGGCGAGTTCACTACCGAAGTCTTGTGAGATCCAAATACAAGCAACAACAATACATATTTATATTAATAGCAAAATATAGAAATAATTACACTACAATTTTAATTTTGTCATCTAGACAAAAAAAAAATCAGTGCCATGCTAAAATGGCTTATTGTATTGATGAAACATGGCATTTTCATTTAAATTATGGCTCAGAAAATCATACATATAATTGTCATCTTCATAAAAGTTAGTACCATGAAAAAATGACATTATTTTTTAAAATAACATTTCAAAGGAAAAAACATGGCATTATTACAAATGTTGTTTTTCAAACAAGTAGTAGTGTCATCTTCACAAAGATAATGACATACAAAGGCATTATTCACAAATAATGTTTGAATAGAGAATAGTGGCACTTCCAGATTCAAAAGTGTTAGGAAAATAGAGGATTGTGAGATTAAAAAAACGAATTGAAATGAATATATCAAATTAAAATGGAAGAGTAATTTGATTCTGAATGATCTGCTTTATTCTCAAAAGTCAATCGGCTATATATACAATTACAATCGTTAACTACCAGCTAATCATTAGCTAACAATTAGAAGTTGGTAAATACAACAATAAATACAAAAAAAAACAAAAAGATAATCACAATTAGAGTTCCGCATGTGTATGCCTCTTCATGGAGTAGATGTATGTGGCCAAAAGATATATTGTACAAATGTATTGTACACTTCAACACCCCCTCAAGATGGAGCATGGGTGTCCAAAATGCCCATTTTGCTAAGAAGATAATTAAATTGTTGATCACCCAGAGCTTTGGTTAAAAGATCAGCCGGTTGTTCAGTAGTAGATTTGTGAAGAGCATGAATAGTCCCGACCTGAATATGATCACGAATAAAGTGACAATCAAGTTTTATATGCTTTGTCCGTCCATGAAAATTAAAACAGGATTTGATGTGATATGAAGGGCAACATGATTGTCACAAAAGAGACGTATAGGAGATGAGTGTGAAACTCCCAATGATGATTATAAATTTTTGGGCCAAATGAGCTCACATGTAAGAGTGGTCATGGATCTATATTCTGCTTCAGCGGGAGGAGCGGGAAACCGTTACTTGCTTTTTCTTGCGTTAGGAAATAGGAGAATGTCCAAGCATCACAAAGTATCCAGTAAGAGAACGACGGGTTATTGGACAGACCCAATCAGAATCACAATACCCAGTTAGAGAAAGATTTGAATAGACTGCAATAAAATACCCTATCCCGGATGCCCTTTAAGAACGTAAAACACGTATAACCGCATCCCAATGCACCATGTGTGGTTGCTGCATAAATTGGGAAAGAATATGCACTATTCATATATGTGAGATTAGTGCATAGGGATGGATCAACAGTTGTCGTGATCCAACCCACCATCATGGAATTCACCTGCAGCCAGTCTGCAAGATCATCCTTGCTCGCCGTGAGTCGTGTGATGATGTCGTCAATAAAACTAGTTTTTAATTTGACGTAGAAAGCACTTTTCATCGCTATTGATCATTCACGACAAATCCCTTCTCCTTTGAGGGTTAACTCACATAGGTTGAGCCCTCAAAAATCTGGATTAGACAGATAAGGATATCCAGGGTTGTTAATTTTCCGGCAAATTAGTTCGCCAGTAGTTCGTTGGTCCCCATGTGAGAAGCTTGATGAATCGCTTGTCATGTTCATGTGCGCAAAGTTCAAGAATTGTTCTCCTGCTCTGATACCATATCAAATTAATATGGGAGAGTAATTTGATCATGAATGATCTGCTTTATTTTCAAGATCCAATCGGCTATATATACAATTACAATCGTTGAACTACCAGCTAATCATTAGCTAACAATTAGGAATTGATAAAAACAACAATAAATACAAAAAGAATAGTATACGAAAAGATAATCACAATTAGAGTTCCGCATGCGTATACCTCTTACAAAAGATAATATACGAAAAGATAATCAGTTCCAACCAATTTTTGGTTTTAAATTTTCACCCCTAGTACAAAAGCTTGGTAGAAAAGATTGGTACAAATACCATTTTTCTAAATTTATTAGCTAGGTGTGATTCCGAGTTAAGCAAACACACCCTACCTTGAGTTAAAGGAAACGGGTGCCACTATGAGCTAAATTCCTATAGAGAAAATTTGAAATCCAAGAGTGCACCTCATCCCAAAGTTAGAAAAAGAGAGCAAAGAGTCGCGCACAGCTGCTTTGCATTCGAAAAAGGAATGCCCAACATATCGAAGACAAAGGGAACAGTTTGTGACAAACTTGAATGTTTTTTAGGCTAAATGTTTTTGTTAAATGTTTTTGTTGCTATGGTATGCAATTTATCTTGTTGTGTTCTTTTTGCGAGACTGTGTACAAGTATTTCTACGCACCAGAAGATTATTATTACTTATTGGGCTCTGTGTTTCTTACTTGATGTTTCATCATGTCTATTTCACAGAGACGAGTATACTTATGGTTGAAATGAGTGTTTTTAGGGATTTTCTTTTTCTATATATATGACATTTATAGTTAATAATCTTAACCTTTTATCCAGAGATCTCCTGTTAGAACAACCTATCCGTGTACAACATTTGGGAACTATATCGTCTTGAACTTATACCAAGATGAACAACCAGTATTGACATATATAAGATTTATAGAAGAAGTAGTTCGAGAAAGAACTAATATATCACGTGAGTTCCTTGATATTACACCTGACAATCAGTTGTTCTTGTTGTTAAGACCTGGAGTTACATCCTAAGAGGTCAACCTGATAGGAGGAACAATTCAGATCTTAATATAGCACTTACATCATTTAACACCCCTCCTCACGACCAGACACTTCGTCTGGATCGTGACATCATTTATTTTTTTCATCGATTTTTTATTGTCATTTTTTTATAATCGTGTCGTCATTTTTATCATAAGGGGCCCGCACCATGGATTGATTTGACTCTGATATCATGCTAAGACTTGAGGTTCTATCCTAAAATGTCAACCTCATAGGAGGAGGAGCCCCAAGCCTTATACAGTACTTACCTCATAAGAGGAATAGCTCCAAGCCTTATATAGTATTTTATTGTTTCATAGCTTTCCGGTGTGGGAAAAATATTTTAATACGTCCCCTCAGCCCGATTCAGGTTGGACAATATCGGAGTGTATAAATGAGCCAAACAAACCCTTAACAAGCTATCCTTAATCATGGGTGTTAAACATCCAGTCAAACCCCAACCGGACTTGGCTTTGTTACCATATTAAGACCCGAAGTTCCATCCTAAAAGGTCAACCTGATAGGAGGAGTAATTCAAATCTTAATATAACACTTAATTCATTTACAAGTTTCCGGTGTGGGAATTCAACACTTGCTGTCAGAACATAGTAAACATAAGATTTCATACTTCGATGTACAAGTGACAACATATAGTAGAAAATTCACACTGAGGTTCTTAGCCACCTCGCTCTACCTTATCTCCATTAAACCCCCATAATGGAGATAAGTGGTACAATATGAATGGATGGAGAGATGTTGAATGGTATGACATTAAATTAGAGCGACAAAAAGAAGTCCTGGAACATGTTCATGTAACCTACGCTTCTCTTGAGAAGTGTCGTAATCGCCAACATCTAACTCAAGGGATGCCACAACTGGCGGAGACTATGAAGAAACTTGGAGGATACATGGATGGTGGAGTTAGGGCATCCTGTGACATTAGGGACTATATAATGCAATTCGTACAGGATATTTCAGAATCCACTAGGTTTAATTCAATTTTCGAAGAATAGATGAGAGCTTTGATACAGGAGCGCACTTGGACCAGGACATGGTGGATGATGAGAATAGTTGGGGCGATAATTGCAAAGGAATCATACATCGGGCACTACAATTACCTTTAGGTAATGACTTATTTTTCATATACTTCTTTGTGATGTGATTATAAATGACCTTAACAATGACTCTATGAATGTAGGTAAAGAGGTGAACAACATTTCTCCCCATGCTAATGAAGTGAAAGTTCTCTTCATACCAACTTCAATGAAATTTAGAGAAATATCAAGAACTGGTGAAAGGATCCTCGTTGAGTTCGTGGGATAAGAGCGCGCATCGAGCTGAAGGAGGCGTTTTGTTGTTTACTTTTGGCTGGTTTTATTCAGAAACGCAAGACAATGTTAGTAGTAATCATGAGCCAGACACCCACTCGTTGGCTCCGTTTTAATTAAGAATGGTTTCTTGCGGCCGAATTACCATATTGGTAAAAAACCAGGGTGTTATACCAAATGGGTAAAACTCGATTTGGCCCACCCCATCGTTATAGATCGATTTGACTCTGATACCATGTTAAGACTCGTGGTTCCATCCTAAAAGGTCAACCTGATAGGAAAAGGAGCTAAGATCTTAATATAATGTTTCATTCTTTCAGAGATATCTAGTGTGAGACTTTTAACATGTCTCCTCATGACCAGACATATTTTTAATGACCATTTTAC